CATCATCATCATCAAATTACCTTCACTTTATCTACTCTTGCTCCATACTGAAGACAAAGCTTAACTATCTGAAAGAAAAAAATTATTCATTCATTCATTACTTATTTGTCCGTCCATCTGCCAACTCAATTATTCATTGAATGTTCATTTTCAYAAGTAATTAGTATCTTCCTTTCCATCAACACAGCAAGAAATTAAGAAATTTTGAAAACAATTTTTAGTTTAAGAACGATAACAAGTTGTTACATCCAAGTTTGTTTGCATTGTTACCTTCAGCTGTCCTGTGTCTACCGCCAAGTGCAACATCGTACTGCCATTTTGGTCCACACCRTACAACAAATCTTCCATCTTACATTTCTCCTTAGCTTTAACTGAGAATAAATGAATAAATATGCATATTCTGCAAACCTCAAATATACCACATAAACCACATATCATTTTATGTATTGTCATACTATTCTTTTTTTTGTATTGTCATACTAAGTACGGACATCTTGCTGCCAAATGACCTTTTACATGCCTTAATTGTAAAAACCAGCCAGCTTTGCATCAAAATGTGTTAGCTTACATATGAAGCCCCTGCATGAAAGTATGAAAATACATTATAGCAGGTCATACTTTTGCACATCTCTCAGTAAAATATAACCAACTTTATTTGTAGGTGACAGTCAAATGTGCCTTTCTCCTCCACTTCCTGTTCAACAGGCCACAGCTCAATAGACCTAAATATGTCATAACATTGAATACTAACCATCATGGAATAGGCAATCCACTACATCGTATGCTCCTTTCATAACAGCTAAACACAAGGGGGTTCTGTTGTTGATGTCTTTGGCTGATATCTCAGCACCTGCCATTAGCTGTGAAGGAAGAAAACCCTTGCTTAGTTGAATAAAATGGGTAAAGTAAGCTGAAAACCCTAATCTTATGGGACTGTTTATTTTTTGCCAGGAAGGGAGTTTATGCTGTGATGTTTCTTACCAAAAGCTGGCATATTTTCTCAGTTGTTGGGTGGTCTGTCTGAACCGCAACATGAAGGGGAGAGACTTTTTCTTTTCCTTTGAAGTTAACATCGACACGAGGGTCCACTAGCAATTCCTTTGCAAAGAAAATAATATTATTAAAAAAATAGTATTAATAAATAAGAAAGTAGTATTAAAAAGAAAAATGGATCCAGTGAAACATTTTATTTTGTTCACTTTGGAATAATAAAGTATGAATTATGACCTAATGAAATACAAAAATATACTCTCTTATAACCCCCACCCTCCCCTCCCCTAAGTCTAGGAATCCTTCAAGAATACCTTTAGTAATTCAACATTTCCAGTTCTTACGGCACAATGGATTGGCGTGTCCTGCTTGTAATCAAGGACATAAACCTTGGCCCTGTGGTCAAGGAGGAACTTTGTAGCTTCCAGCTGCTGTCCAAGTATAGCACAGTGCAGAGGTGTTTGTCCATAACCATCTTTACCGTTCACATCTTAAAAAAAGTTATCAAAAATGAATAATAAGGATAAATATTATAGTATACATGTCTTACTCCTCCCATTTCATTACAGTGTAAAGAGGCTGGGACTAAGGGGAGAGAGAGGAAGATTAGGGGGGGGTGCTGGGATATGGGACCACAGTGTGTAAATCACATATAGTTTAAATCACCTGCGCCACTGTCATATAGCTCTTCTATTTTCTCCATGTTACCAACATATGATGCGTGGTGTAGAGAGTCACCATATCTGTCTTGAGTTGTGGATGATAACTGCTCCTATGAGATGTTATGAAAATATCTTAGTAACTCATGTAATTTTTTTAACGAAAATACAAAATAATGCTAGACTGTATTTTTATGTTCTCACAAAAAAAATCTTTATTATAATTGAATCATATTTCTAGAAAGCATCCATGCCTCTTCCATAATATGCCCAGTCAAAATTACAATGGCCAGGCATAATTTATTGGCATCTAATGTCTGCCCAAATGCTTCGAATTAAGGCAGACTAGAGTGCAAATAATATAACTGTGAAATAAATAACTAGCTAACTAATTACTAACCTTGGGTTTTGCCTAAGTCTAATTAGTTAAAATAGGCAAACCATGACGGGTAAACTAGTGYACGTGCTACTCAAGGGCGCCTGTTTTTAAATATTTTCAAACACACTTACAAAAACTGAAACAAGATTTTGTTGTACATGCTTTTCCTTCGTATAATTTGACGTTTGCATTTYCGTATCTATTCATTTGCGTGTTGAGTTGTTACTCTAGTAAACGTCHGTGCCCTTGTCATGCCTCACTGAATTCCTATGTCTTGTCTAATTAAGCG